CTTGCTTGGTCGGCGTTGGACACCGCTTGGGCCAAAGGCAGAAACAAGGTCAAACCCACGGAGCGTAAAATTGAGCACGCCTACCTCCAAAACACACAGAACGGGCAGAGCTATGGTCCACTCAGCATCAACGCTGAGCAGTTCTACATACCCACGACCAACTTTGCGACATTCCTTTGTGGGCAAGCCAAAGTCATACATGACTACTGGGGCATGTCTTTCGTTGCCGATTGCCCATTTAACCCCATGGGCTGGGAATTTCGCCCTACATTCTTGTGGCCAACCAAAATCCCAGAGCCTTCGCCAGAGGAACCGCATGTCACCTTTCAAGGTGCAGCGCGGTGTCTATTGGATGTACTTGGTACATTGGCAACGATCATGGGGCAGACGCTGGATTCTCGCAACTTCCACACATCTCCAATCCATCTGGACGGTCAAGCGCAAAGCTTGTGGCGCAAGTTCCACACCTTAGCTGACCGTGAAAAGGACGCTGCCCCTGCCTTCGCAAGCGGCGCAATTGGGAAGCACTGTTTCACAACAACAGCAACAACAACAACAACAGCAACAACAACAACAACAACAACAACGACAACAACGACCACAACGACCACAACCGCAACATATCAATAAGCAGCCCGAACTTCTGCAACGCTTTGCAACGTCTCCCCCCTGCGCCCCCCACCCGCTCTTTACCTACATCAGACAGCCGCAGCATATCATTCAGAATTTCTGCAAACGCTTTGCGGGGGAGGGCGCTGCGCCCTCCCCCCTGCACCCCCCACCCGTTTTTTTTTCATCAACAACAACAACAGCAACAACAACAACAACAACAAGAAGATCAACAGCAACAACAAGGACAACAAACGCTTTGCGGGGGGAGGCAACATCAACAACAATAACAACCATTCAGAATTTCTGCAAATGCTTTGCTGAGAACAACAACAACAACCACAACAACAACATCAACAACAACAACAACAACAACCACAACCATTCGGAATTTCTGCAAACGCTTTGCGGGGGGAGGCGCTGCGCTCCCTCCCCCCTCACCCCCCACCCCCTTGTTTTTAAATCAACAACTACAACAACACAACAATAACACAGCACAACAACTACAAACAAACGCTTTGCGGCAGCAACAGCAACAAACGGCAAACAACAAGGCAACGACAAAACGCAATTTTTGTAACATGTAACAAAAACATAGTAATATAACAACAGCAACAACAACAACCACAATAACAATAGCAACAAGAACAACAACAGCAACAAGAAGAACAACAACAGCAACAAGAACAACAAGAACAAGAACAACAACAACAACAGCAACAGCAACAGCAACAACAACAACAACAACAACAACAACAACAACTTCAACAACAACAACAACAACAAACAACAACAACAAACAACAAACAACAAACAACAAACAACAAACAACAAACAACAAACAACAAACAACAAACAACAACCAACAACAACAACAACAACAACACCAACAACAGCAACAGCAACAGCAACAGCAACAGCAACAGCAACAGCAACAGCAACAGCAACAGCAACAGCAACAGCACCACCACCACCACCACCACCAACAACAACAACAACAACAACACCAACACCAACAACCAACAACAACAACAACAGCAGCAACAGCAGCAACAGCAACAGCAACAGCGGCAGCGGCAGCGACAACGACAACGACATCGACAACAACAACTTTAACAACAAGAAGAACAACAACAGCAGCAACAAGAACAAAATCAACAACACCAACAACAAGAAGCAGCACAACAATCAAGAGTATCGGAATGCAGCAAATACAGTGCAACTTGAGGGTTCGAAGTGAATGTGACAAATACCATTTTTGAAAATGAGAATTAAAATGCCAAAACGTGCAAAATTACAGCCCAAAGCACCTAAATGTAGCAAATAGATGCACATACCACAGAAAATTCACAAGTTTCAGGTCGAAACAAATAGCAAAACGTGGCAGAAACCATGCAAAATGAAAACCAAAGCGCCAAAATGTAGCAAATGCCATGGAAAATCATAAGTTTTTTACGCAGAAACCATGCGACAAACCTGCAAAACACCATACAAATCACACCAGGCACGAAACCCAAAAAAAATCCAAAACTGAAAAAAAAATCCAAAAACAATTCTGCACCCATTGAAAATGGTAATAGAAATAGTTGATTTACCCAATAAAAAGGATGATTTTCCAGTTCGCTATGTTAGTTTACCAGAGGGTAATATTTACCATGTTTTTTTGGCAATGCGGGCCAAGATCGATCAGGTTCGAGGGATGATTGGGCCATGGTTGGGATGGGCCGAGATCGATTGCCAGCAATATCTGGATTGTTTATTTCATGGAAAATCCCAATCTAAAATGGATGATTTAGGGTAACCCCCATTTTAGAAAATCTAAAATGGATGATTTAGGGTAACCCCCATGACGAATCGGAAACCTCCAACATGTGAAAAAACAAAAAAAATCGGGACGACTCGTGAGATGATGATCTTTTTTGGGACTCGTGACATTTTTTTTGGGACTGTGTGCAGCTGTTGGGCCAACTCACTGGTCAGGGCCCGCTGAGCACTTGACATCCGTCCATCCTCCTATGCCATTCCTCCTTGGATCGGGGCGGAAATCATGATAGGGATACTTCTGGCTCAAAATCCTTTACTGCACTTGGTGTTTCCATAGCAAAATAGCATACGAACATGCTATAGATAAATCTAAAATGATATATATATATAATTATATATATATATATAGCTGGTGAAGATATAATATCTGATATATATACATATATACATGATAGCTGGTAGCTCATGGATGTTCATTCTCTCGTCTAACACAGCTCCCCGGTGACAAAAAAACCTCTGTCCGTGTCTGAGGGCATGTTGCATTGTCAAGCCTGTAGTGCCTGAACCAGCATGGTGGTCACTGGGGGGTGCTGTTGGATTCACAGGGTAGCCTATGTTTTTTTTTTCCGGCTTAATAATGGTACAGGATGGGGCCCCCAAGATAGTGTTCAGTTGCTTTACAAGTGGCTGAATTCTATGGTTTATGGTAGATATAACGAACTAGTATTCACGGGGTTTATATAAACCAACAAACATAACTCGGGGGCACGAATCCTATATATTTAATGTGATATTTTCCATGGAATACCCACCCTCAGGTGTCATTTTTTACATGTCTAGCTGGATGTTTTTCACCTCTTTGAAGATGGTTGGGGGATTTTCCAGCCACGTTGCATGACACCGGAGGGTATAGCTTGGGATTTCACGAAGAAACAAAAGGTGGTGTTGCCAGAAAATTGGAGTACGACTTTGAAGGCTTGGGGTAATTGATGGGTTAAAATACAAAACAAACATAGTACAACCATAGTTATTTCAAATAATTAGCAACCATAAGTTGGGACATGGGGGCCCATGGGGGCCCTATAAATATGGCGACAACTAGTCATTTCTCATATAGAAATCGCATCCCCGGTCAAGCTATCAGCAGCCCTCACACGCTCAGCCGCTGGTGATTTTGCAACTTGAATTCTGAATTTCAAGGAAACATGATCACGAAAGGAGATCCAATCGGGGAAGATTTCGTTTTGCTCATGTTCGCATCATGGGGAGCATCCAAAATTGTTTCAAGTCAAGTTTGGGACGTGCAACGGCTTGCCCACAGAAATGTGTTCATTTGGTGAATGTCTGTACTTGGCGGCTCGTGATGCCAGAGATTCGTGTTTTTTTGTCCCCAATGTGTTGATATTCCACCTCTGGTTGAAGTTGCCCCATTTCTTAAGGCGTATTTATATGTATTTACTCTGTAGCGGCAGTAGTGATAGAAATATATAGAAATGTAGAATTTGCATCACTTGAGTAGGAATTCATGTTTCTATCCCAGGATTGCTTGGATTGCTTAATATGATACTTGTGCTGGTTAGTGGTTTGGAACATGAATTTTATTTTTCCATATATTGGGAATTGCATCATCCCAACTGGCGAAGTCATATTTTCCAGAGGGGCATGATGACCTGACTGCTCCCGATGCAAGTCTAAAAGGTCTTATAGCAGTATGGAGTCACAATTTGCATGTAAGCCTAAAGAATCTAGAGCTTGTTCGTTGGTGCGGAAACGTTGTTGGACAGTTATGGCTTGCATTGGTCAACTTGATCCATACAATCCTCCAAATCTCTGGCTTTCTGACATGGCTCGAAAGGTTTGATGAACGAATGGCTATCCCTCTGCCTCCGGCAGTTACGCCTCGTTTGAAAAGTGGATGGACCCCAGGATTTGGAGTGCCCAAGCTTTCAAATGTGTCCATCTTCCCGTATGTAGTGCATCCTGTCGACGCAGCCCCTGAAGTGTTGCTGAGGGGTGAGGTGCCTCCTGCCGGCTACCAGCTTAAAGAAGAGGACTATTCAGACATTCGATATGGTTTCGCAGATCGGTCTTGGACAGCTGAGGACGTACAGGACTATTGGGCCTTGCGATTGGAAAAGGCTTTGTCCGAACGTGGCTTACAGATTGATATGTCCTATCGAAGAAAAGCTGCTAAGAAGGGAATTATTCCCCACATTGACGTGTGGGGTTTTTGTTTTTAGTTCTGTATCCGCCTCCTCCTCGCCCGTCCTCCTCCTCACTCACCTCACTCACACACACACACACACTCACTCACTCACTGACCCTCACTCACTGACCCTCACTCACTGACCCTCACTCACTGACCCTCACTCACTGACCCTCACTCACTGACCCTCACTCACTGACCCTCACTCACTGACCCTCACTCACTGACCCTCACTCACTGACCCTCACTCACTGACCCTCACTCACTGACCCTCACCTCACCTCACCTCACCTCACCTCACCCCACCCACCCACTCACCTACTCACTCGCCTACTCACTCACCTACTCACTCACCTACTCACTCACTCACTCACTCCCTCGCTCACTCGCTCACTCGCTCACTCGCTCACTCGCTCACTCGCTCACTCGCTCACTCACTCACTCACTCACTCACTCACTCAGTCACTCACTCACTCACTCACTCACTCACTCACTCGCTCACTCGCTCACTCACTCACTCGCTCGCTCGCTCACTCGCTCACTCGCTCACTCGCTCACTCGCTCACTCACTCGCTCACTCGCTCACTCGCTCACTCGATCACTCGCTCACTCACTCGCTCACTCACTCGCTCACTCACTCACTCACTCATTCACTCACTCACTCACTCATCACTATTTTAAAAAACTTTAAAAAACTATGTTCGGGGTTTTCACAAGTCGTTTTTTTTGGGTAACAAGTCATTTCTACCAAGCGCCAAGCTGTTATGCACAAATCACTCCTGGAGGATCATCCAGCAAAAATGAGCCATAGTAAAACGATGATTCTACAATGGTTATATTAACTATATCATTAGAGTTTCTAGTTATAACTTATCTAAGACATATTGCTAGCCATCACTTCTATGGTTATAAGCCATATTTTCACATTATTATTCACCAGTTAAACTCACTATGGTTATTACCACTCAAAAAAATTGAGTGATAACCATAGTGGGATAACCATACTGAAGTGGGATGATCTAATGATAGCATTATTTATGAAACCAGTTATTCCTAACATTTACGAGACGCACTGAAGTGGGATGATCCAAGCCCGCTCTTGAGGTGCTGGAACTTATGTGGACGTTAGTGGGGCAGCGACGTGCTTAGACTGTGCCCTGGTGGCCTTCAGTGAACGATGGGACGATGGGACGATGGTGGAGTTCCTGGCTTTTCTGGGCTCCCTCCACTACCCTCTGTAACTATAGAAAATCACCATTTTTAATGGGAAAATCCACTATAAATGGGGTATTTTCTACAGTTATGTTAGTTTACCAGAGGGTATATCTACTTTAAGTTTTTTTTTTTTAAAAAATGTTTTTTTCCCTACAACATCCTCCATTACTTTGTTGATTAAATCAGATTATATAAAACATATTAAAACATATTGAACCATATCGACACACACACACAAAACCATATTTAAAAATATTAAATCCATATATAACCGTTTCTAGATGCCTGGTGCAGAATCCTGGGGCAATCAGTGGGCACTACGTGATGGAACCAGAGATCCCCGTAGTGAATTTTCACTGAGAGGACCTGGGTCCCAAAAATTGAACCATATTTTGAGCCAATCAGGGCCAATCAATCATAATCCACTGGTTGATGTTTTGGAACATGTTTTATTTTTTCATATATTGGGAATGTCATCATCATTTTCCATAGCTATGTTAAATAATCAGAGGGTATCTTGAAAATCGCCGACCTTTTCCGTGGCTTTGTTTAGTCTGTGATTTTTGGTTTATTTTCAGGAAAATCCACCACTTAATTGGGGAATATATAGTGGTGAATATTTGCTATTTTTTGGGGACACCTTAAGCAAATCCAAGTTTCAGGTTCATATGAGAATTTGCCAGAATCATGGCTGATTTCTGATTTGAGAATAGACTACCTACTCAACAACAATGGTCCTTGCCAACGGCCAGAAGTGTGATGTGACCATACATAAGCCCAGTCACAACAGATGCTAATGCCCAGTTACCTCTGGATTTTTGTTTTGGATGTAGCTGGTAGAAGTCACACTGCCAAGGATGATTAGATAAATGTTCCAATGCCATGCTTAAATACCAGGGTCAAAAGATACAAGTTTTGGTGCGGATAAATTGATGGTCTAGGGCTTAGGGAGTCTAGTTATACTCATCATGGAGTGGGTGGATAGAATGTTGAATTGGACTACCTACATCTTATACCATATACATGTGTATTCTGAATGCCTAGAGGTTATAACTAATTGATCGGAGAATCACGTTTTGATCTGAATATATATATATATATATACACTGCTATTATATAACATAAATATATATATTTATATATACACATATCATAAAATATCCCAGTCACATCCCATTCTACGCCATTCTATCCCATTATATACATATATTCATACATATGGCTGAGCTACAATAGTTCAACAGCCTGAAAATAGCTGTTCTCATAGCCAGCTATGGGGATGATTCCCAGAATCCTGATCATCATTCCGTCGTGACGTCACGACTCGTCACGACGTGAGGTCATCATAATTTATCCAGAAGGATTTCCGAATACATCCCCATTGTACCACTCCATTATATATATATATATGATATATATATATATACACATCTATATACATATATATATATTGTACATCGATATACCCTCCGGTAATCAAACCTGGTTTGCTGGATTGTTTTCCATGTATCGGTGATTTTGCCAGCTCAAAAAACCTCAATTTTGGGCGATTTCCCATGGCCAGGTTTGATTACCGCAGGCTAGTTACTCATACTCAACTTGCATGGGTCAACTCGAAAATCTCCAATGTTTGTACAATGTGAGGCCCCCCAGTGATGTTAGTTGGTTTATAAGCCCCAGTAACTAGTTCGTTGTAAGTACCATAAACCATAGTTATTGGAGTTATAAACCAACTTAGCTATCGAACGGGGGCCTCACATTGTACTATTGGTTCTCATTATATTCCATTATTATCCATTATTATAATTCAGCCAGATATATATAGATATGCTAGCAATTCGCCAAACTGAAGATAGCTGAAATACTGCCATGTGGCCATGTCATGTCAGAATCCCCGAATCCAATTCCCATTCGAGAACAGGGAAAATAAGGAAGGGAATCCATATACTATTATCCGTATATTATATAGATTTACTATTATATTGTCTATAAATACTGGCCTATTCATCAAGATATACATCAAGACTCGTTGGACAAAGCTGGGCAGTTTCTCCAATGGTTCGCCGTCCAACCAGCTGTGTCCATGTGGCAGTGACCTACATCTCATAGACTGTATAGATATAATTGACCTACATGTGGGGATGATTTCCCTTATTAATCATGATTCCAGGCTTTGGGAGAACAGTGAGGTGGTTATAATTTACCCATATATATATATATATATACAATGTGAGGCCCCCATTAGATAGCTAAGTTGGGGCCTACATAACTCCAATAACTATGGTTTATGGTACTTATAACGAACTAGTTACTGGGGCGAATCTAAACCAACTAACATCACTGGGGGGCTTCACATTGTATATATATATATATACAGATACAGTATGGTTGGTTAATAGGAATTCCCAGTCCATACATTCTGACAATCCCCAATAAAGGGCAAAAAAAAATCCCCTAGGCCCCTAATCAACCAATTGGGGTTGGAACACTGCTCCAAAAACCATCAAAGGTTTATTGTACATATATCGAACTAGCAATTGGGGTTTATAAACGAAGCCACATTATCTATCGTTATTATTATTGTTCCATGAAATATCTCATTATTTCCCATGATTATATTTTTCACTATTTCACTATTATTTTCCATCATATTCCATCATTATATTCAGCCAGATACACATGTAGATACAAGATGTAGATCTTTTCAATTATTTGAACCTCTTATATTCCATAAATCCCTTCCCACGTTCATATTAAACATACCTTTTGACCTTTTGAAACCATGTTTTAGCAGGGAATTTGCACATAATAAAGGGACCATAGAAAGGGTGTGTTTTTTTTTAATATAAGAGGGGGATGGGATTCGAATGGATTATCGCTATGCTATGATCCTGAAATATGTCAGAAATCTCCACATTTACAAATGAATTGATAGATGTACCCAACATTTTTACCATAGAATTCCACATTATTCCTATATATATATATGACCCGTCAGTAAATTAACATAGACCCTGAAAATCACCGACTTTTAGTTGAAACTAATCTTCCAAACCCTATCTGGCAGGGTCGAAGTGTTAATTTACCCCCAAAAAAACATATAGAATTTGTCCATAGATATTTCCCATAGAATTCCCATATATATATATTGTATTTCTGGTGGGGCTTTTCTCATGGTTTTTTCTGGCTCCAGGTCCTCCGGACAGTTTGAGCTGCACTACCTCCTCTACGCCTCAGCGCCTTGGACCAGTTGCGAGGTCAACGGATTTTTCACAAGCACCGGGGCTGGAAAACATCTAGGGACATTGGTCCATGAAAAATGGGCATTTCAGTGACTCAACTTGATGAACTTGATGGGAATTTCTAGTTCAATGGACGGGTTTCAGGGCAAAAATTCAGGTTTAAGCCCCATATTTCATGGGAAAAATCGATGCTTTCCGGCTTCGATTTTCCCGACTAAACCAATCCATTGCATGTAACGAAGATAGGGGCTTAACGGATTTAACATAGGAACTTGACCATCAAAAATAGTGAGTGAACAAGCAAATGAACCACCAACATGTATCAAAATATAGGAATCGAAGCACCACAAGATTGGGACATTAACCAACAAACAGGGACTGTAGTTTCTGGGAGTGGTGGATGTAAAAGCTTTAGCGCTTAGCGCTGCACCATATATTAGAAACTACTGGGAAATTGAGCAATTTAGTTGTTGTTCAAACAAAATTTTGAATCTATCGCGCAAAATTTTGGGTATATACAGAAGTATATCTATCAATTACTTTAATTATTGGCATTTTATAGATGTTGACTGGACCGTTCAATGGACTTCATGGACTTAGATATAATATACACCCATAATATATATATAATATAATATATATATATATAATATATAATATAATATATATATATATATTATATTTATTTATTTGTTTATTTATTTATGTATTTATATATTTATGTATATACATTCTATATGTATATCAAGCTTATTGAGTTCTTTTTGTGGTTTGATGAGGTTTTTCATGGACCTACTGAATGGGGGTGTGTCTGAAAATGTCGAGGACCCGATCGAGATCCATTGATAAAATTGTCATTGGCCCGATGAATACCCTCTGGTAATTTAACATAGCTATTGAAAATGGCCATTTATAGTGGATTTTCCCATGAAAAATGGTGATTTTCCATAGTTATGTTAGTTTACCAGAGGGTACTTCATTTTTTGAGGGTTTACTTTAGGAGGTGCTAAGCCGGCGACGGCCTGTAAAAATGCTCTATGTCCTCTGAAAGAGAGGGTAGGACCTTGAAACGATTTATAATATGATCGAAGCGGACCCAAGTGACCCAAGTAGTTTAGTATCGAACCAACAAACAGGCTTTATAAGGTTTTATCGGGTTTCATGTGGTTTAACGGACCTGCCGGGTGTGTTTAAAATGAAACATCTAAGCCATGTGATGCCATGTGCCCTATATAGTTGTTTTCGGCATGCGGCTGATACGGCGCCCTTGGAAGGGTTGCCAATTTTGAGATGTGCCATTTACGATCCCTTGGAAGGGTTGCAAATTTCAAAAATGAGGCTTGCTGAAATGGGGGTATAGGATTTGATTTTTTTGAGTTTTTATCATGTTGCACATGCTGTGGTATGATCATCAGGGGGGGTGGGGGTGGGGGGTGGGAGGGGTGTATTAACGTTCTTGACGAGCACTTCCTTTACGTTACGGAAGATGCACACGTTGCGCATGCTGTCGTATGATCATCAGGGGGGTGGGGGTGGAGGGTGGGGGGGTGTATTAACGTCCCTGAGGAGCACTTCCTTTACGTTACGGAAGATGCAAACGTTGCACATGCTGTCAGTTGTGTCAAAGATTATCCCCACAAAAGGTTCAAGTTGGCCCAAGTCAACCACAAACAAAATATCTTTACTAAGACTAAGACTTATCATTTTCGAGGTCGTTTGTGGGATAAATCCTATAGAGCCATTGTTGGTGGTACCCAACAAATGGATGGAACATGGAAACACTTGAAAAAATGGCGACCTCCGTCGATGCTCCACAAAAAAAACCAAAACGTGTACAAAAAAAGGTACACTTGGGCCTACAGCTGGACATGGCGTCACAACGCTGCCTTGTTGCAGACTGTGGCTTCTGCATTGCCACAAGCGCTCTGGCACCGCTAGCGTCGAGAAGAGGAAAAAACTGGAAGAGTGAATGTCGCCATATGTCGCCCTGATATGATTCGGATGATTGAAAGTCATAAATTTCTAATGTTTTTTTCTTGACCCTTCAAGAGCAAAATCGAGTCACCGCGCAGGCGAAACGCACATTTTCACTCTTGAGTCACACGCCTGCCAATCGAAATGAATGTCCATGTTGCAAACATTTTTTGACGACTCCTGCAAATACCAGCATTTTGTCTCTTAGCCTCAAAAATCAGAATTTCAAATTCGTCACCCTTACAAGGGCGCCGAGTCAACCGGTTGCCTTGTTTTCTATTCAACAAACTACTGGGATGACATCCAACATCAAGAATAAGATGGTTGGTGGTTGGGAAATTGTTGTATAATTAACTTTGTTTTTGCCCAAAGAATCGATACGCTTGGTCAAAATTCTTGGAGCACAATATTTGACTGCAACATGTCTTTGTTTCTCTCAATCTTGTTCAAAGAATCCAAGTTAATGGGATTCAACATGTGGGGTTAAACATCAAACAACAAAAATCAAAGTACTAACCATATAAATCATTTAATCATACATACATACTTACACGGGAAATTGTTTGATACTATCATATACATTAAAAGGACTATTCCAAAGCTAGGAAGCTTCGACATTTTTGCAATTTCTCAATTTCTTCATAGGACTCTGTGATATACACAGAAAACATCATATTAAAAAAAAGTCTGGAATATATATATATATATATATAAATGTTTGCTATACACATTCGTGTTTTTTCTTTTAAACCATATCTACTATATGTATAGCAAACATTTATAGTTGGATTAATCTAACATATATCAACCATATCCATCTGGGGATGTCAAAGTTGGATTGATTTTTTGACATCCCCAGATCCGCTTCGCTCGATGCCAAGGTTAAAACCAGGTTTCTTCACCTTCACAGGCCCGACGGGCCCGACGAGCAGGTGTTGATATAAGTCGACATAGAATACATAGGTTGTTTGTTATAATATATAAATCAACTACTGGCTATAGAAAAAGTAATATGAGAGAGAGAGAGAGATATATATATATAAACTGATAGGGGTGTTGAACCACAACGGTTACCCCTTCTTTTGCCTTCTGGTGCCCCGTTGAAGCTTCAGCAACACATTTTTTTGGCCCAGGGTGGCTCAGCAGTGCCAGGAGACTATGCCTTCCTGTCCAACAACAGCGGCACGCCCGCCATCCCGTGCCTTGGCGGCATGGGCTGAAAGGTACCTGAAAATGCTGGGAGAACACTGACATCCAATGAAAATCCCAGAAAAATCTCATTGGATTTCAAATATTCGGTCATTTTTCCCATATTTTCCAACATGTTAGGTATTTTTTCCCATATTTTCTCCATGAAAATCTAGAAGGTGTGGCCCCCGGGATGTAACTTGGTTCAACAAAAAATTACATAATTGTAGTTATATGCCCAATAAACTATAATTAGTCAAGTTACAAGTGAATTTAGGCTAAATTTTCTGCATGAAAATCTCGTTTTCTTTGTTTGGGTACTAAAAGCGCCCGTCACCGATGGGTCAGTGCGTGGTGCGTCGCTGGGTTGCCTCCCTTGAGGAGGTTAGTACCTGATTAGGCTGATCAGGAACCTGAAATTTCTTGCAGGCGCACAGGTATGTGGGGATCACACCCAAGGTGCTCTATCTGATGTTTTTTTTCCCCTTGCCCATTCCCTTCCTTGGCCGATGGCCCAGTGTCTACATTCCAACATGCAATCTGGCTTAGTTTGCTTTGGTTTCAAGCACAGGGTCCACAATGTGGTGCGCGCATGTGCCCGCAATAATTTGTTTGCAGCCATCATTCACTCCGGTTATATCCATATCCCCCAGTTAGCCTAGTCATTGCTAAATTTGATGAATTTAGCTATCCGTGAAACAAGTATAAAATCAATCCCATGAACTTAAGTTGGCTAAATCACAATTAAAACTATGAACTTGACCATTAAATCACCGTAGCCCAGCGATATTTTGTGAACAACTTAGAGAACCTTTTTCGGGCACCAGCTCGGTGAGAAGATGAGTCGAGCAGTCAGTTTTCGATTCGCCGAGTCGATGATGTCTGGAATTTTCTCCATTGGATTTTTTTTTTTTCGGGGCATCGAATCCGGCACTGGAATCTCTCTTAGAATTAAGGGTAATCAAAGATGACACTGGAATATCCCTGATCTATAGATGATATGTGATGATATTTAAGATCTATTTAAGATGATCTATTTACTATTTGATGATATTTAAACCATCCATTTACTGGTTGCTACATTAGTAGGGTTGCTGGATGGGTGGGAGTTGCTGGGATGATGAAATTGATTGGCTTCACCAGTGGATCATTCCCGAAAATTCCCTATGTAAAACGCACCAGTACCCTCTGGTTATTTGTTACATAGCCATGGTATAGATGGCCCATAGAAATAGATGGTTTACCGTTCTTAAAAATGGGTGGATTTTCCATGGCGAACTGTTAAATAACCAGAGGGTATTGGGTTCCATCAATCCAGGCAGCCGAGGGTTGATCTGAGCAAGAAGCCGAGGTGTAATAGGTGGATGGGACAGCGAAATCCTGCACCACCTAGAAGATGGTTGAAAGCCTGTGAATAATATGGGATGTTTACCACCGTTTTCAACTGGTGCAGGATTTCGCAACCATTCACGGTATTTTTTGGGGGAGGATTGGAGGCAGAAACATTGGCAATTTGATCAACATTGGTGATTTGATCTCAATACTAATGTGAGATTCTATAATCAACAAAATATGCAAATTTTGAGTTGTAAACTGAATTGGGTTTCCCAGCCTCGTTCTGAGCAAACTTTTGGGTGTGTGACAAAAATCCTTTCTGTTTACGGTTTCTGTGGCAGTACCAGCATTAATTGGGTGGTTTCCTCTAGATTGAATACCTTGCAGGAATCAAGCAGCGCAAATTCCCCATGGAAAAATGTATTTTCGTCTTTTTTTCATTACCCAGTTCGGTTTTGAGAGGATGCTTTCCTTTGACCCAAAGGACTGAGACATTTTTGTAAGTTCCTCACTGTTTTATAGACACATCATGACATGGCAAATCTCACAACATGTTTTGAACATGCCTACTATATTCATCTATATTCCAGTTTTAGTTGAGTTGATTTCTAGTTTAAGCACCTTTTCCAATAGAACCCGGCAAGGCATCCCTTGCTATCGCAACCACCATGGAGCGTCGCCAGGGACTTTGTCTTCGGCTTCCAGGGGACATACAACACCAGTAGCATGCCAGAAATCGCCAGTACCGTGAGAGCTTCAGGACAGCGCAGCGCGGGCGTTTTGAAGATCAGGGAAGGTATCCAAGATCCACACAGATCCAAAAGGTGATTCCTTTTGAAACTGGGAGTGTCTTTCTATGTACAAGCCATTGGAAGGAGGAAGATTTGAACTACTCAGCATATCTCAGCATCATTTCCATTCATTTCCCACAAATGACCTCGGATTTCTTGGTGACATTCCCCATCTATTTGTTGTTGAAATCAGCATTTTAACCGTGAAACTAGAGACACACCTTGGAACCACTGCATGCGCGCAGGATTGAAAGCTTGCTCGGAAGAGTGTGCATGGGCTAAATCAGCGCTACCGAACTGATCTGGTGGTTTCTAAGTACCATCTGGTAATCAAGAATGGCAACCTTTTTTTTTCTCCTGCCAATAGCAAGTTGAGGGCTACTCCATGCACACCAATATTTATCTGGTTGGTGCTTTGGAACATGAATTTTATTTTTCCATATATTGGGAATTTCATCATCGCAACTGACTTTCACTCCATCATTTTTCAGAGGGGTAGGTCAGCCACCAACCCTGATGGTCAATTTCCATGGTGGAAGTGGGTAAGGGGGTATTGATATTTCATGATATTTCCATGCCCCCAATAATCACGGATCTGACAATGAACAGATCAAATATGCTCCATGTCATGTAACCAATTTCTAGTTTGGAAGTATTTTTCACATTCCCAATATGTATATGTATATCTATATGTATATGTATATGTAAATGTATATGTATATGTATGTGTATATATATATGTATACATATATATATATATATTATATCCAATATATTATAGTGGAACAACTGCTGAGTTTTTTGAAAATTCAACCATCATAACTTTCATCCCTCTGTCAAAAACAAGGGATTTCAGATACAACTCCGACTGGAGCCAAGCTGTCCATATTCTACAAGGTGGTCCCAGTGAAATGTGTGTTGGGACTTATAACCCCCATGAACTACAGATATATGTATATATATATATAAGCTCCATACCTAGGACCATAGGACTTATAAACGCACCAACTTAGCTAACATAAATCAATTATAAATCCCATTAAACGCACAACTCAAGCCAGTTTCATTATGTTTCATGGTTCCATACAGGTGCCATTTGCAACCATATAAGGCGTCTAGATCGCAGCTTGTGACAAGGCAACTGCTACATAGGCAAGATAGAAGTTTGTCAGCATCAAGGAGGTACAAGTCTCGACGTTGAAAAACACATCTTGATCAATCGACATTCATAGATATTGAAACACATATCATATGTGCGCATGGAGTATAGAACGATAATCACATACTGCAAATCAGACATCTCGGAGTTTTTCTCCTGCAATGTCGGACACGGAATCGTCGTCGAGGCATACTTCTGCGACGACACCGTCTACAACTGGCACAGCTGCTGACCCCTACTTGACACTGGAAGATTCCTCGACAGCAACTGTTCAGCCCGAGGCGTGGCGCCTGACGAAGCAGTTGGTCCTCTCGATTGGAAAGCTGCAGGCTATTGTAGGGGAGCGGGGGGTTCGCAAATTTATGCCCAGGAGTGTTTGGAGTGACTGCGGCCATGCCGGACGTGACGGCTTCCTCTCGCTTGCCAGTTGCTTCTTCCACTGCAGCAAAGGCTGCGCAACTTCCACGAGTCCAATTTTGACCCGGAAACTGGATCGTGTCACAGACCTCTTGGTGAATCAATTGTTGGCAGATGAGATTCAGGAAAGGGTTCCCTTAGCTGCTTTGAGATGATCCCCCAATGACGCCCTCATGGCAGCGCAAAGGGCGCTTATAGGGGCCATGGATTTTCACTCATGGCATGGGATCTCATGGGATCATGACCATACTAATTTCATGTTCCTATGGTGAAACATATCCCATATCACCACATCATATCCCAATTAAATGGTTGGTTCTATCCGCTACATTCCCATATATTCCCATGCAAAAGTTCCACGTGGCTGACCATGGTACATATATATATACCCTCTGGTTATTTAACATAGCCATGGAAAATGGCCCATTTATAGATGGTTTACCATGGTTTACCTATTAAAAATGGTGATTTTCCATGACTGCCACAAGCAATGCAAAGACATGCGTACCGCCAGCGGCAGTGCACAGGACCCTGGGCGCAACCCCCGGCACCCCCAGATATCAAAGTTGACTTACTTCCGCACTCTGCAAAGCTACACCAGGAAAGGCAGCAAGACCAGCTTTTGCGAGTGGCAACGTTGATTCCTGGGGAGCGGGGCCATGTTTGCGCGTGCATATCCACATACATCACGCGGAAGCGGCGTTAAATTAGCGATTCATATTGGCTTGGCCGCAAAACTACTAAGCATGTGCTCAAAAGCTACTAAGCACGGTGTCGCATTTCCTATTGGCTTGGCCGCAAAGCTACTAAGAATGCATTCAAAAGCTACTAAGGACGATGTTGCAATTCGTATTGGCTCGGCCGCAAAACTACTAAGAAAATGCTTCAATGAATAAAAGAAATAGTATCTTCTTCTTTTCTTGAATTTGGAGAGACATTCTTAGTAGTTTTGCGTCCGAGCCATTGTGATTTGCAACTCACGCCTTAGTAGTTTTTCATGAACTCCTTAGTAGTTTTGCGTCCAAGCCATTGTGATTTGCAACTCACGCCTTAGTAGTATTTCATGAACTCAGTAGTTTTGCGTCCAAGCCATTGTGATTCGCAACTCGTGCTTTACTACTTTTTCGCGATATGCTTAGTAGTTTCACGTCCAAGCCATTGCGATTTGTACCTCATGCCTTAGCAGGCCTTTTATTAAGGCTTTGGGGGCGCTTCTTCTCAAAGCCTAGGTGGGCCCAAGGCCCCAAAACTGGAGCCTCAAATAAGTGGTAAAGCAAGCGCCTCGGGCATGTACCCTCGGAGTATATCATGTTATATCCCTCGTTATAAGTGGGATAAGTAGGGTTAATCCACTTTATACCATTCGGGTATCCGGTATCCTACTTACGAGTCGTGGGTACTTCGCCACCAAGTAGGACCAAATTTGGTCGGTTAGTCTACCAGGTAGGGGGAATCGAATGGGAATATATGGGTAACTAAAGCTGGTGGGTGGTTTGGAACATTTTTTTCCTGGTTAATCTATGGTTAATCTATGGTTAATAATGGTTAATAATTGGAATAACAATGGGATACTGGTTGGTGGTGACTGGAACCATGGAATTTTGAATGACTTTCCACAAAAATTGGGAATGGAAAATCATCCCAGCTGACGAACTCCATCATTTTTCAGAGGGGTAGGTCAACCACCAACCAGGATATAGATGATATAGCCCTCACAAAATTGCAATATTTGTTTCAAGCAAATCATGATAAACGTGTGAATTTAGAGGCCTTTCCCTATATTATCAGACAGACCCATATTTGACATCTTCTCTGGTTGGTGGTTTGGCACATTTTTTGTTTTCCATAATATATGGGATAATGCTTCCCATTGACTAATATTTTTCAGAGGGGTTGAAACCACCAACCAGTTCTTTTCGGTACCTTCAAGTAAATCAAACCCACGTTGAGCCCGATGAATGAGGTCGCACAAACCTCGCCATGGATGTAGTGATAATTTAAAGATGTTTAAAATTGTTTTTTGTCACCTTTCGTAAATAGTTGAGGCAAATCATAAATTACTTCACAGACATAATTATCTACACATCGTTACAGGGTGTACTCATATATATATACCTACTTCAACTAAAACCCACAAAATAGCAGGTTGGAGTGCAAGAACCGGGTTCTGAAGGCTCTTCCCACAAATTTCGAGGTTTTGATATCGATAACCTGGTTTTGAATCAATAACCTACTTTTCAGAAGCTCAGCTATCTTTTATAATCAAACATGGCCCTCATAGCCTACCTCCTCCACCAATCCCTAAGCCATTTTGGCTAATGCCGCGGCGTAGTCACAGAAGTCACAGACCTAATCGCCGGGATGCTCAGCAAAGCTCCTGCCAGGATCATGGATGCATGGTGATGTTGGAAAAGAATGTTGACAGCAAGACTTCCTATAGTTAATCCCAGCCACATTTTGGCCCAAGGTTGTGTCAGTGTCAAAGAACATGACTATGCAGTTTGATTGTGAAAATCTGGCGATGGAGTGGGACTCCCATGAGGAAATCAGGGCTAGGCTTCGAGATGGGAAACATTTGGTGGGGAACAAAGACACTACCAAGGATGCCACTATTTTCCAGTGTGTTTCCAACGTGGATGTGTTACCCCCGATGCTTCACCGGCTCTACGCTTGTGGGTTGAAAATGCCTCAGATCGACAATCTCCAGGAACAATGTCATGAGGCCTGCAGAAAATCATCTCGGAACCCTTGTGAGAAGACTGTTGAAGATGATGCGTGGGAGCTTCGCAAGATGTGCAGGTTCATCAAACGGAAAGCCCGACGAGGGGAAGTGAGTCTTGAATTTGGGCTGTAGCTAAGCATGGATTTATTGTTTTACTTGGTGCCCCCTCCCATGAAACAAGATGTCATTTTTGGGGGGCCAGTCAGCAGCCTAAAGGACACCGACTTCCACGACCTGCTCTTGATTGTGGAGCCCTTACTTGAGGCCAGGTTCGACGCATAGCAGGGTTATATAAAATACTATGGATATATATTTTATTTCTAAATTGTTTTACTTGGTCTTTACATATCCCCAGGCCAGTCCTTCATCACCAGCATTGGCAGGATAAAATCACCCAAGTCCTCGCGAAGGCCAAGTCTCAGCCCATTTCCCAGAAGGACACGTTTCAAGTTTTTCAATGTTTCCTTTGGAACCCTGCATAGGTGATGAAATGTTTTTAATCAAGCCCACATACGAAACTTGGTTTTGTACAAATTATATCCGTTGTGATTCATCAACACTTTCGAGGACTCTGCAACGGAAGATGATGCTACGAACTCCTCGTATGATGACAGTTCTGATGATGATGGTAAAGAGGGCAATCCATCTGGTGATCCCGAACGTTTACAAGAGGTGGTGCCACCACAACCAGCTCTGTCACTCACCAGTGCTACCGCTACCCCTCAAGCCCCATCTCCTGCACCATCAGTTGCTTCAATCGTGACTCCGCCTGCCAAGCATACGGCCGTGGCCGCACTGACACCGCCCCCAGTGTCACCTCCCTCAGGCTTTCGACTGGGATTGGGTGGGTCATGGTGGGTTATAGTTTTCCACCAAATGTATAAAGTATAGAATATCATATCCAAACAGTAATAGATGTAATAGGACCCCATCAACGATGCCACTTGACTCGCTTCCCTGAGGCGATGATC